TCTGTCTCTCTAGATGACCGTTTGCCATTTTCCCCAAGTCAGGGGGCTTTGCCTAAGAGGGACTACCCAAGCCCCAGGCCAACCAGCCTAAGCATACAAATCAGTCCTTACCATGGGCTCAAGAAGGCCTAGACTGCCATCAGCGGCCTTCGGCCCCAGCCGCCAAGAGAGGGGGTTGCTGAGGCCAAGGCTAGGGACCGCAGCCCTGTCCAGGTCCTTCTTCCAGGAAATGCTGTGGGTTGATAACAAGCCCAGCTCAGACTTGCTACAAGCACAGAACAAAAGTTTCTTTCCTGTCGGATGCCTGGCAAGACCCACCTACGGCCTGGAGGTGGGAGGGAAATGGGGTTTCCTCCCCTGGAGACATAAATGAGCCTCAGCAAAGGCACACCCCTCCCTCACCTGCCCTCAGCACTGTGGGCTTCCGATGGGCAGTGGTCAGAAGCTCCTGGAGGACCCTGGCCAAGGCAGGCCTCAGGGTGCCATACCCCCTTACAGAGAGAACATACTCTCAAGCACGTAGGAGATCACCCAAGCGTGCCCACTGCTCGATCACAGCTGGGTCCACTGCCTCATAGTGACCAAGCTTAAACCCTCCATGAATATAAATGTTGTTAGGGTAGCTTTCTAGTTGGAGGGAGTTCATGGACATTTTAAAATAAGAAACAGCTTCCTTAAGGTGCCAACAGGCAAACAGCAGGCAGCACACGCCTTGTGAGCTGACAGTGAAATGGAGCCATTTCTGGGGTAGGCAGGGTGCACAGAGGAGCAGAGCCTCGCTGGGACCTCGATATGAGTGTTGTCAGCCCCTTCCAAAGCCGGGGGAGAGACTCCTGCCGAGGCGGGATGAGCACTTGGTGTGTGCCCTCTCCCCACCCACCCCACCACCTGCCCCCCCACGGCCCTGCAGCCTTGGGCTGCAGGGGTTTTCCCTTAGGAGGGAGAGCATACTCTGCCAACAGTGCTCTCAGGGATCTGCTGAAAGTGGGGAGGGGATGGAAGAGGCGCTCTGAGTGAGGTAGGGTGCCTCCATGGGGACCAGCCCACAGGGTCTTCACTCTAAGCGCTCATGGCTCCACCCTACCATTTTAAAGAGCTGGTGATCCCAACAAATGCAGTCAAACACCAGGGCACTGTGGCATTGCCCCCTGTTGCCAGAATCTCCTCTCCTCTCCCTCTCTGCTGCTGAGGCCAGGGAAGCATTTACCCTACAGCTAGGTGTGGGGGTGGGCAAGGAGAATAGTAGCCTCAAGGCCCTTTCTTAGGGACCCAGGATGTGGTCCAGGACATGTTCCATGCAAATTCTTCCCTTTGCACAGACAAAACGACACTAGTCTTTATGTTTTTGAGACACACCAAGTTCACTCCCACCTCTTCTTTGGAATACCCCCACCCCCACATCATCATCATCACTTGGCTCATTCTATCAGATCTCAACTCTGAACATCCCCTCCTCAGAAAGGCCTTCCCTGACTGCCCAGTCCAGTATCTGGGGTCGGAGGTTAAGATGTAGGGAGATACCCTGGGTTAAGTGTGCTAGTAACAGTTCTGGGAAACCATGCCTTGTACTTACCCTGTTCTTTGGCCAAAAGCATTTAAAGAGCAGGAAGAAGCAAGCCAGACAGTGAGCAGAATGGACCGCATAAACAGGACCGACCTCGGATCCCCGAGCACCTGGCTGATCTTTGCCAAGTTTACCAGATCTAGAAAGAAGGAAGAAACCAGGAGGCCCAGTTAAATTTGAATTCAATATTTTTTGGCATAAGTATATCCCACACATTACATGTAATATACTAAAAATACATTCATTGTTTATCTGAAATGCAAATCTAACTGGGTGTCCTGTATTTTATCTGGCAATCCTACCCTTGTTTCCCTTTGGGGAGGACAGGACAGGGGCCTCTTAGCCATTCTGACCCCTCCCAGCAAAGCTTCCCCACCCCCAGCTGGCTGAAACAGCCAGTTAACTCCTACTGGGCAGGTGCTTCAGGCAGAGGCCTTAACCTCAGGCTGCTGAGAATACAGAAGGCATAGGAGGTGGGGTCCCCAGTCCTAAGGCACTGTAAGATGCAAACACACAGAATTCATTCACTCTTTACAGCAGTCTCACTGAGTCCCTTCCATGTGCCGGGTGCTGGGCAACATTCGGGACATAATAATGAATATGACAGGCATAGCCTTGTGCTCTCAGGCCTTTACAGTCAGGGAAGGCTTCTGGGCGTGGGACATAGAATCATAGAGCTACAGGATAAGCAGGGGTTAACCTGGCAAAGGGACAGCAGGGAGAGGACAGGAGTGTTTCTGGCCAACTAAAGGAGCAAGAGCTCGCTGTGCTGGAAGGCGGAAGAGGCCTAACCAACACACCCTGGAAGATCTGGGCCACTGCCCGAGTTGACATGCCTGAACCAAAGCGTGTACCAGCTCTGGGAGGCGGCCTTGCCTTGGGATGGCAAATAATTGAAAGGTACATACCCTGACCAGTGTACAGAGGGCCTGAGAACTTGCTCCAACTTCCTTGAAAAGAAAAATAGTCTGAATCTGAAAGTGCAAGTCTGCTTGGACAAGCTTAAAATGGAACTGTAGTCACTCAGGGAGAAAACCTGTTTTCCAGCTTCAGGGGCGGTGGAGGTGGCCAGAGAAGCAGTAGCCCCAGCAGAGCAGCAGCAATGGTGGCAGGAGAGGCAGCGAGGCAGGGGATTGGCCACAAAGCTTCCTGAGCCACCCATGAGACAGTGAGTCACCTGGGACCTCCAGAATTCAAGGGGATGGGCTGAGGGACATGACCAGCTGTGGGTCAGGGCTGACCCTGAGGCTGGTCCAGTCTGGGAAAACAAGACTTAGACAAACGGGAGTGACCGACTGCCCACGAGCCAAAGTAACACTGCAGGATGGGTGGAGAAATTACGAGAATCGGGACAGCCTGCCAACTTTTACCTCTGCTGAGACCAGGATGTGGGATAGATAAGCAGTGGTGAGGACCAGCCTGGTGCAGGAGGTAGCATGACAGCACTGGGCTCCCAAGGTGGGAGGCAAGGAAAGGGGTGGCCTTTCCCAACCCCCTCAGGGTGTTTCTGTGCAACCCTCTGGAGAGGGAGGGGTCAGGAGAAAGTCATTTTCTCATCTAACTCCCTCCCTCCCTGCCCCCTTTCCTTCCTTCCTCCTTTCCTTCCTTTCTTTCTTTCAACAAAGGTTTACTGGGTACCTACTTGCGTCAGGCACTGCTCTCGGCCCTAAACAGACAGTAATAGAGAAGGTCCCTGCTTTCACGTAACTTATGTGAAGTGGGGGAGACAGATCATTAAAAAGTAAACTAATGAACAAGCAGCATAGATACACACATGCATAGGAGTCTGTGCACAGAAACTTAGTTGCATGTGACGACAAGTGTATGAAGAAATTAAAGCAGGGGAAGGGGCTAGAGTGTCAGGGGAAGGAAGATGGTTGGTGAAGGGTGCTAGATATTCACGTGGCCGACGCAGCCATGTGAAGACCTCGAGGAAGGTAATTCCAGCTGAGGAGAGAGGGTGGCAGGGCAAAGTCCAGAGGCAGGAGTGTGCGTGGCCCTGCTCTCTAACACGCCTCTCTCCCCAACACAGGAGAAATTAGCAGCCTGTGTACATAGGAAAGCAGGAATGTAAACAGGTCATTAGAGAGGGCAGAGGTTGGAGACGATGAGGTGTGGAGCAGGGACTCCACCAGTGGTTCCTGGGGCATCTGAAGATCCATAGGTCCATCGATGTAGTTGTGTCTGACCATGACCATGTCCATCACACACTGGAGAATCTAGACACTGGGTCACGGTCAAAAAGGCACTGCCAAGCTCCCTGTGCCCAGCCCAGAAGGTTTACCCCGTGGCTGGTGGTGCAGCCTGAGCAGGAGACATCAGCCCCAGCATCACACTCACCTGGGCCAGCTCTCCCCTCCAAGAAGGCAATCATGAGGAGGTTTGAGTCCCAGTCGTGTCATACTCTCAATCCCCCTCTCCCTGCTTTGTTCCCTGAGTCAGTCGATCAGTCAATCAACAAACATTGAAGACCTGCTATGTGAGTGCTAGAAACATTGTGGAGAGCCAGAAACAGCCAAAGGAGCAAGAGTGTGAGGCCTGGGGTAAGGGGGTGGCCACAACCTTCAGTGGTATCAGCAGAGAT